AAAAATACATATAACAGATAATGTATATAAAAAAGTGTTGAAAGTGCTTGCATCTTTTTATTATTTTATGTGGATTCTAATCAAATCGGCAAAAAAGTGGTTTTACTATTGTTTTTATTTATTGCAAAAATATTAAAATGTTTAATTATTTCAAGCAATTAGATATTTTCTGTGAGTTGGTTTTATTGTTTTGGAAGTTTTTGTGACAATGCAACGTAAATTTGACCAGGACTAAATATAGGATTGCCTATGTTCATAATAGAATTCCGTATGTCCATAAGCGTTGGACAAACTCAGTTCTTGGCTTTTATGAATAGTGATTCCATAACTTAAAGACAATAGAAATTGTTTTCTAATAACATAAGCTTTTTCCATTGAAATTTGACGCTTACTTTTTCAATTGAAATTCTAACCTGACGATAAGCAAAGTTTTACTTTTTTGCGTACTCACTATTTGAAATATTCCGAATAAAATAACAAAAGTAATTGTACTGTTTACAAGGCTCAAGCTAGCATTAGTATTACGTCTTCTCATAACTTTTGCTCCGATCTTAATAATAATTGTTTTCGAAAGTTTGGCTGTTCTAGAATTATCATCTTCAATATTTGACAATACGTTTAAAACGTTTTTTTTGGTAATTATTTAGAAAGCGGACTTCCTCACCGATTTCAATGAGATCGAAATATGTTGTTAAGGATGTTATTCTGAAAACAACTTTTCCCTATACATGTTACCGCCGGTCGGCTTTCGTTTTCGAGTTATAAACAAATAAAGGTTTATTACGATTATTACAATTATTTCTGAAAGTAATCACGTTATGGAAAAAGGTGTCAAACAAGAAATGTAGGAAATTCGATTTTCTATAAAAAAGGTTATGATATTTATTTACCTAGCTCCAATCGTTTTCATGTTAGAACGTTAAGTCCATTGCATTTACGTATATATTACAATGCGTAACGTGATGCGTGATAACCTCAATAAACTCGAGTTGAAACAAACACAAGTTCAGATCAATTGTTGCACAAAATTATTTTTTATTAATGTTCGCGATGTAAGCGTATAGGCAGGGAGGGCTGCGCCCCCTCTGCACTCCCTACTAAACCTAACCTAACCCTAGCCTAAACTCTTCTTTCTGCATTCCTTCTCGCAAAATTTCCACAATGGTTAATCTATGTTACTATAATATCAATAGAAATGAGTAAAAATTTTGCGAGGGGGAATGCAGAAAGAAGAGTTTAGGTTAGAGTTAGGTTAGGTTAGGGTTAGGTTAGGTTTTGTAAGGAGGGTGCAGGAGGCGCAGCCTCCCCTGCCTATACGCTTACAACACGAAACTTTTTTGGTAATCTTGACATGAAGCGAATGTAATTGAAAGTCGTATTTGTTAATTAAATTCTTCATTGTTTCTTAACGGAGGGAGCAGGAAGGAGAGGCAAAGCCTCTCCCCCTGCGAGGGGCATAGTCCCCTCTGCCTACACGTGTCATACAAAAAACATATTAACTTAAGAAATTGACGCAATGTTGGAAAATTAGTATTCAATTATGAAAGCTCTTTTGTTTATAACTCGAAAACTAAAGCCGACCGGCGGTAACATGTATAAAGAAACGTTGTTCAGAATAATGTTCTTAACAACATATTTCAAGCTCATTGAAATTGGTAAGGAAATCCACTTTCTAAATAATTACCTTTTTTTTATTAAGGTATTTATCGCGCGACAGTCTTATTCAAAATTTTAATTTTACGCTACAAAAAAATACTATTCTCAGAACTCGATTCTCACATGTCGTACGAATAATTCAGACTTTATCAACATATCATTAGTGTAGAAGTAAATAAATAGATTTATTATGCTCCTAAAACCTATCAAAACTTATTACTTACATATATTTAAACAATTTTACTTTTTTTTGCTAACATGGTAAACTTTTATTTGGTAGCGACTGTCCACGCTTTACATCAAACGGCAATCTGACAACTTCGCGCGCGTCTAACTAAATCTGTCAGTTTGTTTAGCTGTCACACAAAACTACTAAAATGACTTCTCAATTTTACAGATACTAAAACAACGCTTAAAATGCTAAACAAAACAATTTTGAGTATAATAGAAGCAAGAAAATCGATGTGTTAAGATCTAAGTACGTTGTGCGCGAAGCGACATTGTTGCCGCCGTTACTCGCCTAACTATGCTTTGTCAAACAATATTACAATCTTTCCGCGGCTTTAAATATGACAACGATCATGTAATCAGCTGTACGTGAGCAAAAATATTTGTAGAAAAGTGTCGTCATATAGTGACAACTTTTCTAGACTCACGTTCTACCATTACGCAGTCTGGTGGCTAAATCTGTAGATTCACGCGTCAGCTCACATCTGTTTGTCTGACGACAACGTGGACGTTTCTTAACTGTCTGAATGTAGTTAAAAATCAGACTTTAATATATTTCTATTGCTAAGGCATAGAGAAAAAAATCTTAATCGTTTTCTAATGTACTTAAACCTCAGCTTTTGAAGAAACCTAGGCACAACTCAATCGGTTCACCGTTGATGAAATCTGAAAATTTCAACAGTGTCATTCGGTCGCACTCGCGTAAATGAGGCACGGGAGCGTCGCGCCGGGCACGCACACTTCGTTGCGCGTAACTTGGCGCGAGGCACCCGTGCCTCTTGATATGTTGAGTTGGAGCAAACACTACAGAACTCGGAAGACATATAACAAAGACGTAAAAAAATTTTTCAATTGCTTGTATAGCTGCATTAAACCAAGGATGTATTTAAAATGATGAATACTTTTTACAATATTTCAGTAGCGTGCACCCAAAGAAAGCGAGAAAGAAGAAAAAGAAAAAGCCAGATGTACGCTTTCTCGAAGCTTTAAGCTTATTTCACGCGGATGAATAAGAATAATTTGCTAAAGAGTCCCCGTCTAATTTACTCACAATCCTGCTAGCCAAATTTTCTTTTCCTGTCTTTGCAGAAAATCCTTATCGTATTATGTATATACTTATGTTATATATTCATTATCCTATAGCTTTAAAAAGGGAAAAGCTCCATGAAGTTATCTTACTTGAAATCGATCCACAATCTCACGAGTTCTTTTTCTGGAGCTGTTCTCTCTCTCTTTCTGCAAAAAATATCGTTTCATTTCTACTGCTGATGCTGTAATTGCGTACTACGTGATATTTCGCGTGCATGCCTAGTTATTATTTCGTAGAAGATACAATGCGATACTTTCGCATTAGAATACCATGACAATTGTATGCATCGGATAACGTCAACGTGTATGCAAATGATAGATAGTAAATTACAGTTTATACGAGATCTAGGCAAACGGGATCTATGCAACAGTCAATCTGCGCAAAAGAAATTGGCGATCGGTGTCTTGCCGCTTCTTTCTCTTTATATTATACGTGTAGCAAACAACGCGGGTGCAAAAATATTAGGAATATTAACGTGCACTTATGCTATGCCTATAGACATTCTGGCGAGTAAACGGTATGGCATGTAAGTGCACGTTAATATTCCTAATATTTTTGCACCCGCGTTGTTTGCTACACGTATAATATAAAGAGAAAGAAGCGGCAAGACACCGATTGCCAATTTCTTTTGCGTAGATCGACTGTTGCACAAATCCCGTTTGCAACAATCTCGTTTGTACAGAAAATTGTTGCGCATACCCCGATTATTCATAGTCGTCATTTCACTGGTGTTGTACTTGACTAATTGTAAGATTTTATTTACCTAGATTGAGAGGGTGTTTGTTATACAGATTCCATTTGCCATATCCTATTTGCACAGAAACTTAATTGCACCTACACGCACATTGCATGTCACGTGTATACCTTGATTATTTTTATACATTTGTAAATATTTTGTTTGTATCACACACTATCGCACACGTATGGACGGGAAAAAAGCGGGGTCCCTTCCCCAGCACTCTCTTTCCAAAAAAACCTGACCTAATCTATATTGTGTTCTTCTGCCGACCCACTAGTCTCGCGGTCTGAGTGCAGAAACTGCGAACATGGAGATCCCGAGTTCGAATCTACTTATCATCTTAGGATTTTTTCTGAACCGATCTTTCAATCAAATAAATCGGTTAATTGTCGAACTAACTCGAGCTTCTAAAAATTAATTCAAGTAAAATCTCGAATTAATTTCTCTCTCACAAGGCAATCTTAAGTCATAATACCAGAACACGAGCCCAATGCGGACACGCTCACTATAAAAAGACGGCCGTGTATCGCGTGATAGTGATATACTGCATAATCCTCACTCGTGTGAATAGAATGGTAAAAACAGAAAAATAGTAAGAGAGACCAGATTAAAGACAGTAGAAAAAGAAGAAGAAGAGAATATGGTCCGCAAAGATCGTAAACACGGTCATGGATATGTTAAAATAATGGCATTTAAAAAGCGTCCTTCACGAATCGGGATCTGTGCATTAAGGTTTTTGCGCAAACGAGATATGCGCAATATTATTTTTGTGCAAACAGGATTCTGGACAAATGAGATCTGTACAATGATCATTATAAGCAATTAGTCTGCGCAAAAATTTTCTGTACAAACAGATCTAGGCAAAATCTGTGTAACAGTGGATCTGCGCAAAAGAAATTTTGGCAATCGGGATCCTTCTGGATAAAGTACTAAGACTAATTATTGCGAATAAACGGCATATTGTGAATTAACGTTTGTTACTAAAGAAATAAATGTAAGGAGGAATATACCGGCGCTGCGTTGTACAATATAATATACTCATTCGTGGCAGAAATATAAACAACGTGTATATAAAGCGCTAACACGGCGATCGTTAACCCCGATATATATTTCATGTTAAAAATTAAAGAATTTATTCACTTAATTATACATTAATATTGCATAAAAATAGAAAAATAATAAAGCGTGTAAAATGCGCAGGATAATTGTTAACTACATAGTCTGATCCCGGTAAGATAATAAACAAAGAGGTAACTAAACTAAAAAAATTAAGGAGAGAGAACTCACCTACGAAAGTCTTTGCTCCAACAAGCGTAAATCACGGGATTCATCCCACTATTAATCCAGCCGAGCCACGTGACAGCGGCGGATACTATTTCCTCTTGCCAGATGCATTTTGTGCAGAATCCCGACCACAGATTCACAACAAAGAATGGCAACCAACAAATAATAAAGACACCCATTACAATACCAAGCGTTTTCGCCGCCTTCTTCTCTTTGGCAAACTTGGCGAGCTTGCGCGAAAGAGAGAAATTTTTGCCTATGTGCTGCTTGTTGTTAACCCGCGTGGATGGCACTCCGGTAAGGCCATTGTTGTGGAGCGGTACTGTTAACGGTTCCTCAAGATCTTGGAGATCTTCAGGTGTGCTCGAAGTGGTGCGAAAAAGATGCCGGGCGTCAGTGTTAGTGGCACCGCCCCGGTGTATTCTCAGCGTGAGCTCGAGCTCGCCCGAGGCCATCATCACTTGCTTCGTGCCGAGTTTCAGACTTCTCGTCTGTATCACGGCTGCACGATAAATCCTATAATATGTGAATACCATTACAAACAGCGGCAAGTAAAAGCTGATTGTCGACGAGAATATCAGGTAGCCGAGGTTCTCCGTGAACGGACACTTGTTCTCGGGCACTTGCTCGGTGCGCACGGCGCGCCACCACGCTATTGCCGGGAAAGAGATCGCACTCGAGCAGATCCATACGATGGCGATTAGGATTGCCGCGCGTTTCCTGCTCATGCGAGTCGGATATGTGAACGGATCGGTGATTGCCCAGTACCGATCCAAACTGATCACACATAGATTCAGGATAGACGCGGTGGAAAAGAGAACGTCAAGCGAGCGCCAAATGTCGCACCAGTCGGTCGTGAATACCCAGCGATTCTCCAACACTTCATACACCGCACTGACAGGCATCACCACTAATCCCACTAGGCAATCAGCGCAGGCCAACGAAGTCACAAAGTAGTTCGTGGCAGTGTGAAGATGCCTTTCGCGAAACACCGCGAGTATCACTAACGAGTTGCCGAAGACCGTGGCGACAGAGAAGAGCAGCAAAACGATCGCAAGACCAATTCGATCTGTGGCGAGATCCCAGAGAGAGACGTGCGAGTTGTTGAACAGAGGATAACTCGTATTGTAAAAGTTTTTGCCGAGGTCGTTGTTTACTGCGTTTGCTTCTTCTTCCCAGTTCAGTAAATAAATCTCGCTGTCGTTCATGTTTTGTCGTGCGCGATCGGGAAAGTCGCTACCTACGACAACGATCTCCCGATGACCGCAATCACCCTGACAAATGTCCAAGATGATCTTGATCTTTCTTGATCGTCGCTGGATAACTGAATGTCAAAGCATCAATGTGACGAAATATCTCATTCTCGTTCGTTTTCTCATATCGTCTCGTGTGAATGCTGCAAATTATTAGAATTCTGCAAGACGCCCGATCATATTTCAAACTTGCCAACTTGTCACATAAGACACCTCGAATAAGGAAATCCGATACTCGATCTTTGTTGTTCTTATAAATCAGCTGTATATTCTATGAAATCTTGATTTTTTTCTTGATATATATTTCTCATGTAGACATCTATATTCGAGAGTGATGTTTGGCACTACGTGCACGTTTTGGTTACGATATTTAAAGCAACGTGCAAAATGTATATGACACTGTTGTAATAACGTTGTGAAGTAATATTAAAAAGTTCAGACGCTGACTCATTTAGTTAGGATTATCTTTCTTCTTAAACCTGAAACAAGTAAATAATTTTGTAAAAGTAAACTTAGTCTTTTCAAAAGAATCACACTGACATGCAAGAAGAAAAATAAAACGCAAGTTTTATTTTACATCGGATATATTACAATCTCTTGAAATCTATTTTTGCTCAGCAAAAAGCTCTGAATTTTCCGAATCAAGCTTTCCTCTTCGCTAATAAAATAAGCATTCTCTTCATTTTAATTTTACATACATATATATATTAATTTTATATATATTAATTTTACGTACATATACATGTACGCCGTAAAGTATACATATAAATTAAAGAATAAGAAGTTACGAATACACACACAAATATACATAAATACACAGATTAATTTGCCCAAGTCGGTTTCCTCGAATTACAACCGCAAATTCCGTAATTTACGCCGCAGATTAATAATGAACTACCAAAATAAAAAACAAATATGTACTAACATAATTTAACTTTAAGTGAACTTTCTCGCTTTGACAATTTTATTGACCTATATCAATGGCTTCAATTTTGCCGCAGATATAACGACGAAGAAATTTCCCTACAAGGCATGATAAACTCTTTTGGATTGATATTAAAGCTATCATGTCGCGTCATTGTAATTTACATATAGGATACTCGGATCATTTTCTGAAATCAGTTTTGTCTACGGAATATTGGATTTGAGCAGGCAGATCAAAATGTATTGAAAGGAAGAAAGGGATCAATCAACGCTAAATCGAACTTCTCGTAATATGACGATCAATATGTTATTAAAAAAAAAAGAAATATTTGTAAGGTAAAATGTTTAACGATACGTAATTACCGTTAACATATTCGATACATATATATCAAGAAGGAAACTTCGGTTTTCTATCGCTACCTTAAGCTCACGTTGCACGTGAACAATCAGTTTCAAAGAGCTTCAGCAATTTCTTTCAGCGTTATAAGCCACTCCCTTACTATGGCTCTCTATTTATGGATATTCATCGTTGAGTGATTATCACGATCATCTTTGACCCCGTACCCTCGCGTCCTCGTGGCTTCCCTCGTTTTAGCGATACAACACACACACACACACACACACACACACACACACACAAATATATATATATAGTCGGGCATATAACGTAGTCGTTGAAGAAAAGGCCGCCGTTGAACTTGGTTATATTATAGATGGACAGTACCAATGGCGATCGATATTTATGCATAGTATTAGAAAAAATAACTTTTTTAGTGCGGTCAATTTATTAATGAATATTATATATTCCTGGAGTAACATGCCAAGAACGTCGATTCTTTCTTGTTGTTAAAGAGAGTTTTTGTTTCGAACTAGAAGTAAGAGATACAGTGATTGGCCACTTAAGGAAAACTGCACTATATAGAGTAAATTATAAAATTAAATTTAATAACTTGAAGTAAATCTTCGGTATTACCCACACAGAACAAAAACTCCATGATTGTAGAATGATATCGTTTCTACGTCATTTTCATGATATCATGTGATATCACATCCCTGAAATATCACACAGATATTTTTCTAAGAATATTAGTACAGTTTTCTTTCAAGTATATCTCAAAGACATCGCTTAATGTATAGGAAATTTGAATGCAATGTATTACACTCCCGTGATAGTCTTATGATATTTTTGAAATATTTATTGATGATATCACAAATCTTCGCACAATATATTTTGCG